CATTTCCCCCCCCCCCCAGAAAAACATACATTTATATACATTATTTCAATGCAATAACGCAATAAACTCAGGACTCTGCAGTGCAATGAACTCCCACAGGCAGGGCTGGTGCTAAGCCAGCAATTTGCACCGCCCCCAGTGCATTAGATATGGATGTGGTGGCAATTACCACACTCGCCAGAGCAGGGTGGCATATATCGCATGCACCGGAGCAGCATTTATATATATATATATATATTATATACACATGCCCCCTCCAAATATGACATGCATCTCTATTGAGGGGAGTGTGGTGGTTGAGAGAGAGCTGAGTCCAAAAAAATGAACATCACCTCTGAAAGACTGTATATTGTTCACATATCCACGAACTTGCTCGTTTGTGGGTGCACCTGGCAAACATGCCGAAAAGTTTGCCAGTTGCAGTTTAAGTCAATGGGAGGTGAATCTTGAAAATTATTTATCTCCATTTTCAAGGGTAATAGGCAAGGGATTGACAAACAAAGGGCATGAATGGATGAGCAGTTACAAAACAAAAAAAAACAGAAAAAATCAGTTTGGCTGAGAGCAGTGATTTTAATAACACTGAAAGGGCAACATTAAAATGCCAAATTCCAAATAATATGTTTGCTGCAAGCCCTTAACCTGCCTGGGAAGTGGCGCATATTTTCTATACATGTATACAATGTACTGAGCTAAACTGACATTTACAATGAAAAAAAAGGTGTTTAAATTGCCAGAAAATGACAGCTTCTGGATGCTTCATTTTGTTTGTAAATAAAGAAGCTGGGGCCCTTTATCTATACCATACCCATATCCTAGATGAGGGTTGGCTATTGATGGGACCCCTACTCCCCCTTAAAAGCCATACCAAGCTCTTGAGGTCTGTTATGGATTTGAAGAGGGACCCCACACAAAACAATATGTGGGCTCCTACCAACAGTTCATTACCAGATCCTTTTCTGAGCATGCAACTTGACAGGACAGGAAAGGAAGGGGAATGAGCTCCCACCCCCTTCTGAGCCACACCAGGCCACATGCCCTCAACATGGAGAGGTATCTTGCCCCCCTGGAAAAGCACCTTGTCCCCATGTTGACTAGGACAATGGCCTTTTTCAAAGCCTTATTGAAATCTGGAAGCACCCTTTAAGAATAAAATAAGGGATGTGATTAGGTAAGGGGTACACAATACCTCTACTCATTCAGGGGGAAAAATGATAGCATAAATAATGTCACACACTTCTTGACACAAAGTCCTTTATTAAAAAAAAAAAAGTCCAACATTGCATATCCATTGTCAAACATGTCATCCAGCGATGCAGGTCCTTGTCAATCACAGTGAATGACGCCCATGAATTGTCAAGGGAAAACAAACAACTCGCAGTAGACCAACTCATCTAACGGGAGACTAGCTCCAAATGGGCAAACAAGCAGGCATTCTTTGCACCACAAAAAAAAAAATAATCTTACCCTGGTATGCGCAAAAGCTTTTTTACAGTAAGAGCTGTAAAAAACTAGCAAACAATGTAGATTGCGTCAAAATAAAAAATGGTTGGATGTTTTTCAAAAATCAGAAAATATAACTTATTATTATTATTTATAGGAGAAAACACTGTAGAGTTGATCTAGAGAGTATGTAATTGCCAGGTCCATTTTTCTAATTGGAGTAAAGTTGACCATGCTTTTTAAGGAATTTTTGTCTTCCTTTGGATCAGCTGATGATTTAGAATTCTGAGGGTGCAGATTTTTAATTTGTTTTTGGCTTTTGATTGAATTCAATGGACATGGCTTACTATGCAACTATAAATGTTTTAGAAAAAACCTTTACAAAAATATTTCTTACCGGTCTTTAAAGAAGAATAATTCTCCTCTGATTTGTGAAATGCCATCAAACACAATATCACTGGTGCACAGCTCTGGGGTTACAGGACCTTCTGTGGGATAGGGATCAGGTCCTGGCCTGGGTTCTTTTCCTTCTCCCCTTCCTGAAAGATACGCATATATAATATGTCAAATAAGATACATACAATAAATGCAAAAAATATTCCTTAATTTACTGTAAAAGATAAAGGACAGCCCTGGATATTTAAAAATAGATAATAAAAACCACAGGCTGTGGTCTATAGTAATAGTGGCATTATCACTGGATGTGCCTTCCCCCAGTTGGAACCTCACTAAATGCCTAGGGGGTCAAGAGCCCCCTGAGATGTAATCTTACCGGCCAGTCTCCGGTGCCTAGGAGAGTAAAGACTGCCGAGGCAATTAGACTGTTTAACACAGCTGCAACGCAACTTATAAGTTCATGTCAAGCCTCAGTGGCAGATGCAGTTTTTGAAGCAAAAGCTAAGGAGAGAGAATCAATGTCAGGAACAAGAGGCCATTGATAAAGGCCTCCATTGAAATGCTCACCTGAAGCCCAAGTTAGCCCTCACATAAAACCATAAAAACAAATCTGGCTCTAAAAGACTCCCCTCCAATCATGCAATCATGCTATTTGGGAGAGAGACAAGAGGGGAGTGGAATTCACTCCTCATTATGAACAACATGACACACGAGGGGAGGTGAATGGATGTGAAGAGAGGTTTTTTTTGTTTTGTGTTTTATAATAAAATCTGGCTATATAAATGACCCAACACAACCATCCAAAAAGCCACTAAACATGCTCAGAATAATCAGAGGACAAAGATGCAGACCTACCTGATCAAGATGATAGCTTCCCCTCTATAATGCTATGTTTGCTTGTCTAGAAAAATCCCAGAAAAACAAAATTGCCTGAATGGGAGATCTTAGGAACCCTTTTACGTGAGTAGCAAATCTAGACACTCACAGTCTTCTCCCACATGTGCAACTGCAGATTTACAGAAAACTGGATAATCAACAAAACCAAGCAAGTTTAGCACCCCCCTTACCCCTGGGCAATTGAAGAGGACCCCGAAATGGCTCAGTGTCATAGCATTTTAAACCCAAGGCAGGATTCTTGACTCTTTGTGGGTGAAATAAATTGGGCACCAGTTACTTTAAAACATTTACAAGTTTATTAAAGCAAAGTAAACCTTCTCCAGGAAAGAGGGTTGGAGCAAAGGATACCCAAAATCAAGCTGGCCTTTACGCTAAAACTGGCAATCTTAATTCTCAACTGCTGAAAGCACCACCAGGTAGCACAAGTACCTTTATTTTGAGTAGCCAGAACTTCCTGCTCTACTCCTTCCTGATTTACCCTGCAGGGATAAAGGTGGGAATGCCCCTTCATTCTTATTGTCTTTACAAAAGAGAAAATAACAGCACTACGCCATCTGGAGACCTTTCAAACTTCTGTGAATGACTTAATATACAGACACCTGCCCTCCCAGGTTTATCCCCTAAATGAGCTCCAGGTGGCTGGCTAGACACCCTACATGAAAAAAAATATATCAAAAGATACTGAGAATCCAGAAAAGTGCACAAGTGCAACAACATAAAAGTGAAGTTTTCTTGACCTTATTACTTCCTCAACTTCTACCTCTGTCACTGCACTCAACATCTGTCTACAAATGCTACACTCTGACACAATTCCAGAAGAAAGGTATTTGCCAACACAGGAAGGATTCTTCATTCAGTAAGTATGCCCCCAACAAGAAAGTGACGGTTATCTTGTATTGTTGTTAATTGTGTTTCAAAGAATTTCTCAAAGAAAGGGAAATTCCAGGTGGTTAGCAGGGTCACCAGACCTAGTGCCCCCCTTGGCAGATTTCCCATCTATTCCTGTTCAGGTGACAACCCAAAACTCAACATTTTCTTTCACTTTTACTTTCCATAATAACAGTCAACAGTATTGTTGTTCATGTATCTCACCAATAGGCAACCTGAGGCACAGGTGGCAGGGCAGACACAGGATCGGTGCAAGGATTTTTGCCTACACAGGCGAATGTGCATTGCCCCCCCGCACCTTCCAAAACTAATAGGAGATCTGAGATATCCATGTTACAGGTCAAACCAATTATCTCAGAAGCATTTAGAAAGAAGGAAGACCATCAGCTACAAGTTCTGTATATGCGAAGCCAGAAGCAATGACACCCCAAATAGTTTACTGTGGAGCACCCCAATACAAAGACACCTCCCCCCCCCCCCCCCCCCATAGATCTTCACTAAAGATAGCATAACTAACAGCACTGACCGACAATGTAACAAAAGTAAGTATTCACCCTGACCGCCAATGTAACAAAGTCATTCTTACTGACCGCCAATGTAACAAAAGGTATTCACACTGACCGCCCTTGTAATGGAGATATATACACTAACTGCGAATGTAACGAAGGTATTCACACTGACGGCCAATGTAACGAAAGTATTCGCCCTGATCACCAATGTAATGGAGGTATATACACTGACCGCCAATGTAACAAAAGTATTCACCCTGACCACCAATGTAACGAAAGTATTCGCCCTGACCGCCAATGTAACAGAGTAATTCTTACTGACCGCCAATGTAACGGAGTCATTCTTAGTGACCGTCAATGTAATGAAAGTATTCACACTGACCGTCAATGTAATAAAAGTATTCACACTGACCGCCAATGTAACAAAAGTATTCACAATGACCGCCAATGTAACGAAAGTATTCTGTAACGCCCAACGGGAATGCGCAGATGGACCACAGCGGAGGAGGAGGACAATCAATGCGAAATCAGCAGAGGGTTGTGGATAGGGCAATCAGTACTGAATTCCAGTCATCAGTCACAATCTTATGAACGGAGAGTTTTTAATTCTGATATCATTTGCCTTGGATGGGGTCTAATGTATTATAAGTAACGGATGTACTAGCCCGGAGGTGTATTACTTTATACCCCCTGGAGGAGTAACTTAAGTTGTAGGTACCCGAGGATTAATTAACAAGTTGGGGTTGTTCAGACCCCGCTCTGAGTGGGAGCTGATGGGGACCTGATGTAGTCCTGATAAACAACGGGGTAGCGGATTACTTAGTAGGGTAATGCAAGTGGCGAGAGATAAAGTATAGCGTAGCATAGAGGCTATTGTACAGGGTTGTATGACCCAAGCTACTATATTCAGTAAGATCAAGCAATATAATCCACAGTCACATCATCTAAAGACACAGCAGGTTGGTGGTTATCAACAATACAACTAAGTGCAATAGGGACTGCACTTCCAGATCCAACAGGCAATTGACACAGTTGAGTTCACAGTCTCTTTGCATATGGTTAATGCAGGGTACATGCAGTTGGTAAGCAGAGGGTGCACAGGTGTCATAAGATCCAGGGGAGGCGTTGGCGGCAGTCCGTCTGGCTCCGGTCTCAGGCTGCAGGCTATAGGTTGATCGTCAGTGGGGTTCGGGAGTTGCAGGGCGCACACTCCACAATAGTGGAACGCCGTGCAATACTCCCAGCCCCTCTCTTATCGTGACCACGGAAGTGCGGGGGGGGGAGCCGCATGATATTGGAGCCGCATGGTATTGGCTCGCGGTATACTGCCGCGTCTCAGTATACCGCGAGCTAGGACGCTAGTTTGTGTCCTCCCATTACCCTAAGGAGAACTATGGGGAAAAGCCTTAACCCCATAGTTCTCCTTTAAGCAGTATTAACTTCAGCAAACATTTACAAAGCATTTGACAAACTTTGAAACAGCTATATTAAAGCGGGGAATGGAAGAATTAGCTTTTGCTTAAAAGCATCAAGGAGTAAAACAATTAATACAGTCAAATATAGATATATACCTACTGTGTCAATTAGAGAGCCTAACCTGCCACTCTGTACCCACCCACCTCTGTCACAGAGGCCCACCTGGTGTCATTGATGTACATATGCCATCCCTCCTTCTAGAACCAGCATAGGCACACCTGCAACTGTGGGGATAATGTAAGGGCCTGGATGTCCTTATGACCTTGACAAGTCCTTTTCCTCTCACTGTCAATGATTGGGGCATTACTTCTTTGCTTGGACACTGGGGCATTTTTTTCAACCACTGAGGACATCGCATTTTCTTTCCCTATTGCTGACACCAGGCCATTTTTGCTCCCAATGACCATCAATGATGGGGCATTTTTTCTCCGATTGTTATTATTACAGGTTTTTACTGTATATAGCTCCGCCAATTAACACAGCACTTTACATTTTGTACAGTCACAAGGAACCCTCAAGGAGCTTGCATTCTAAGGTCCCTATCTTACATGGATACATACATATATACACACACAGGGCCAATGTAGACAGGGGTCAATCAACCTGCCGGCATATCTTTGGAGTAAGGGAGAAAATTGGAGTACCTGGAGGAAACCCACACAAACTCCATGTACAGTAGTTACAGTACTTCAAGGCAGTGCTAACCACTAAGCCAATGTGCTGCCCAGTGGGGTCACAAGGGGGTGCGGGGGGTGCAGCCCGCACCCGGGTGACACCATTGGGGGGTGACACCAAAATGACTTAGTCATTTTGGTGTCACCCTCCTCTTGAAAAGTCAGCCGCTCGGTCATGGACGGAACGCCCGACAGTATCAGGAGAGAGGAGGGGACCCGGCGGCATACCTTATCCCGCCGGGTGACTGTCTCCTCCTCTCTCTGCCGGCGTCCATCACCAAGATGGCTACCGGCAGGTATCAGAATACCGGCGCGCGTGCGCGAAGACGTCTCGGCGGGATGACACTCGGACACCGCTCCGGGTGTCACCCAGCCTCGGAACGCCCCTGGTGCTGCCCTTAACAATGATACCAGGAATTTTTCTCCCACTAACCAATGATGCAGGGTATTTTTTGTTGTCCCTCACTGACTGACAACACCAGTGATTTTTGCTCCTGCTGACCAAAAACGGTGAGGCATTTATTTTTCTTTTATTGACCAATGACTAGGTATTTTTCCTCCCACTGAAGAATGGCAGGCATATTTCCTCCCAATAGCCAATGACACTAGGCATTTTAATGTCAGTGACCACCAACACCAAAGTATTTATTTTCTATGCTCCTCAGCTCTTCCTAGTGGCCATAATATGATATTTACATTACATTCGACCTGAAAATATACTACTGTATATTGAGAAGGTTAATTTTTGCCTCTATTCACACAGAATGACCGTTCACAGAGATTGCCAGGATGAATGGCGCTGTGAACGGTTTATAAATAAACTCCTAAGTGTTTAAAATTATATTTTCTGCTGGGATTCATGTATGTCGGTAAAACAATTTAATTACAGACCGTATTGTAGGTACATCAGCAGCAAACATATACATGTGTACTATGAATAGGCACAGACTATTTAACCATGCTTCTATAAGCTGCCTTGCTCCCTGCTATCTATCTTTCTGAAGTTCAAAGGCATCCTCCCCGCTTTTGGACTTCAGAAAGATGTATTGCTTTACTTATTACACACCCTTCCAGTGGGGATTCTAACAGTGTTTCTGAAGTAGGTCAGAGGAGAATTTACTAAGTTTTTGTGGGGCAGGGAGTTGCAATAATCACACAATTTTGGTGCAAGGGGACTGGGTTTTCCAGATCTATTAAGATACCATAGAACAGTTTATTCTGGCATGCTAGGGTTCTGGAGTGGTGCCACCCTGTAGGAGATAAGAGATGGCTTCAGCTAGAACAGGCTGATACAAAGCGTAGTCCCACTACAGCTTAGTCGCCATCCCTGATAGGCATGACTCAGAGTGGTCTCTTATTAGGGCCAGCATCTTATCTGCAATTGACAGGCTTTGTGCATGACTCCAGTCATCGTCAATCCGGGCCTCAACGGAGGTGTTTTTCGGCCCCTTTTGCTGTTTGGGAGGTTCCACCTAAACCAAAACCCAAGTAGCGAGCAAAATTCAACAAACAGATTTCTAAATTGTGTCTCGCCGTTACACGGTTCCAAAGTATCTCACAAAATTTTATCCACAGGGCTCTTCCCTCTGATTACAAAGTATGGAAAGTAAATTAATGAGCTTTTGGAACAGAGGTGGCTGAAAGACTTGCAGAAGTGGATTTGGAGAATGTTTCTGCTACATCTCGCTCCCCTTACCATGAAAAGAAATAAAAAATCCTTGCTCATTCATTTGTTAAATGCTGCTAAAGCATGAGTTTTTAAAGCATGGTTTTACTGGGTGTAGTTCTCATGTTCTTCTGATTATCGAGACTAGGTGGCAGCATGAACAATTTCTGTTCTTCTGGCAAGTGTTCGTCGGATGACAGGGCCACAGGAAAGGTCCTTTGTGGATTGTGTGTATCAAAAGAGGGTGAAAGAAGAGGGACAAAGAAGAAAAGAGAAAAAAAATTCTCCTTCCTCCCTTCCTTTTCTCTTTCCATGTCTTTACTGCATATAGAGGCAGGGCTGGTATACCTCTTGCACTGGATACTAGTAGATGTTTATTTTTCTACACAGAAGTATCTCCCAGCAGTATGTACTCTTAGTTTTGTACTTCTAGTCTACTTTTCTTTCTGTAAATCAGTTTGTTAAAATGTTAAATAAAAAAAGTTATTAACAAAAAAAAGTTGGGAGGTATAATATATATATTTCTACTTATAGGATGGTGCTGTGATGAGAGCGTGCCTATGTAGAGTATTGACTTAGGGAGTCTATTAATAAACAATTCACATAGACATTTGCCCTGCAGATCACTGTGAACGTTTGTTCTGTGTGAATAGAGGCAAAAATAAAGTTCTTTGTATAGTTTCTTTCCAGACCAAGTGCAAAGCAATACCACATTGGGACCAATAGATCTAGTGGACGAGTATAGGAAATAAGTATTTATTTTCTATGTTCCTCAACTCCATCTAGTGGCCGCAATGTAGCAATGGCAAAAATGAGAGGAGTCTAACAGGATTTTGTTCCAAGCTAGCAGTCTCTGACAGTATTTATGGTCCATATAACAGTCTTTTGTAATAAGCAAGAAGTCTCTCTCAGTTTCTGTAACATATGTATACTAAAACTAGTCTCCAGATTGGCTATCCTGCTATTGAAAACAGAATGAAAACCTTTGTGATCAGAAAACATTTGCCTTGGACTGTTCCTAGTTTTGTATATAGACAAAACCCTCATGGTAATCTATACTGATATTTTTTTGTGTTGGTAGGACCCATGTACTCCAGTCTGACCCTGCTCCTCACACATTAATAGACTATTACCTGTAGTGTTGTTCTGCTTAAGAGTCATAGTCCTAGAAAGAAATAGTGCTTAGAGTGGTTAAGGGCATGCAGAACTGGTATGTTTCTGTAACAGAAATGCTAAAATGTTTTCTCATTATGGTGATCACCTAAACCAGCGGTGGCGAACCTATGGCACGCGTGCCTTTGAGTATTCAGGTCTAATTGAAGGGTTGGCACTTTGAGATACATAAGTTGGTTTAGTTTGGGCACTCCGGCTCAAAAAGGTTCGCCATCACTGACCTAAACTATTCATCAAAGATCCATTAGATTTATCTTAAAAGGGTATCTCCAGTTTTGCTGAAATTAAACAATCCCCTTCAGGTGAAATGTTTATATTTCTATAATTTTAACTTTTTTTCAATTTTACTTTTCTCTCTAATGTAGTAAAATTATATCTCAGGTTCTGATAATGAAGACAGACACTCCTATTTACAAACATTTTTCCAAAATAACATGGTCAGGAAACAGCAGTGTTGCAACAAGAAAAACCTCAATGACTGCATCCTTTTTAACAGTGAAGATGCCTTAGAAAGTATCTTAACCAACATGACATTTCTATTGCATGTTATGGCTGAAATTTGACTTGCAGCTCAGTGCTGATTTCTGGGAAAAGCAGTAAGCAAACACCACAAGCAGGAAATTAGATTTCTGGGAAGTTCTTTACAATGTTTGTGTGCCAATATGTAAAAAAAGTGTTGGAGTTTACTACACAGAAACATACCAGTTCTTTTTTTTTAAATGTTGGAGTTTACTACACAGAAACATACCAGTTCTGCATACCCTTAACAACTGTTAACTGTTATCAGTCAATTATGTGTATTTTTGTTCCATTTATATAAAAAAATGATGTGCATGGAGATAAAGGACCTATTGCATAAAATGACTGTAATCTGTCATGTATTTTAGTAGCAACTTCTGGCAAAAGCACTGAACAAACACCACAAGCAGGAAATATTATTTCCGGGGAAGTTCGGAATACAACATAAAGAACTCTCCAAAGATACCATACAACAAGGAACCAACATAAGAATTTTTCATATCGACTGCAGATGGAAATGGAAAGCATGAACAAGAGATAGAGCTACAAAGGCAGATATAATAAAATATGCAGTTACCGTATATACTCGAGTATAAGCCGTCCCGAATATAAGCCGAGGTACCTAATTTTAGCCAAAAAAACTGGGAAAAAGTATTGACCCGAATATAAGCCGAGGGTGGGAAATGAGGCAGCTACTGGTAGATAGATACCATTAAAATACATTAATATTTATTTAAAAGAAAAATAACCTAGCTCTGTAAGTGGAAAAGGGGGTACAGGGCTACATATCATGTACTACGGATCATTTAACCCATTCATATTAGCAGAGGATAATTGTAAATCTATTGTTCAGTGCACTCTATATGTAGTATATAGTACATGTACATATAGAGTGCCTGCAACAATACATTTACAATGATCCTCTGCTAACATGAATGGGTTAAATGATCCATAGTACAGGGCTACATACAGATCATTTAATACATTCATGTTAGTATAATTGTAAATGTATTGTCTGCACTGTATTAGCAGTATATACTCTATATAGAGTATATACTGCTAATACAGTGCAGACAATACATTTACAATTATACTAACATGAATGTATTAAATGATCTGTATGTAGCCCTGTACTATGGATCATTTAACCCATTCATGTTAGCAGAGGATCATTGTAAATGTATTGTTGCAGGCACTCTATATGTACATGTACTATATACTACATATAGAGTGCACTGAACAATAGATTTACAATTATCCTCTGCTAATATGAATGGGTTAAATGATCCGTAGTACATGATATGTAGCCCTGTACCCCCTTTTCCACTTACAGAGCTAGGTTATTTTTCTTTTAAATAAATATTAATGTATTTTAATGGTATCTATCTACCAGTAGCTGCCTCATTTCCCACCCTCGGCTTATATTCGGGTCAATACTTTTTCCCAGTTTTTTTGGCTAAAATTAGGTACCTCGGCTTATATTCGGGACGGCTTATACTCGAGTATATACGGTATGTGCTTGTCTGTCCTGGAGAAACAACATTAAGTGAGAAGAAATCTACAGTGAGGGTGAAGCCTGTTTTAACATTTTAGGTTTAAAACAGGTTTTTGTTGCATACATTTACAAATGCATGTGAAGCTACACTGCTATATCAAGGCACTTTACTGGTCTCCAAATCTAAACTGTCTGAGCTCCCAACTTGGGACATATACTGTATTTATAGCAATGCATGAATAGAGAACAGGCAGGAATGCCATACCTCCCAACTGAGATGAGAAAGAGGGACACCTTGCAACACAATGAGGGGCATTTATCAAAACTGGAGCAGTTGCCCATGGCAACCAATCATCTTTCATTTTCAAAGCTTACCTGAACAAACTGGAGAGAGAAGTTGATTGGTTGTTATGGACAACTGCGCAAAATTATGTCTGCTCCAGTTTTGATAAATGGCCCCCAGTTATCATTAAGAATTTATATGCCAAAAGTGTATGCCATTTCACTATTAATTCCTTTATACCTATTTCCCTTATACTGGCTTTTCAAAATAGCAAACAAGATAATTAAGGTAACAGGTAAAGGTTTCAGTGCAGAATAATACTTTTAGTAGTTAAACAGTACATTTTCATAGATATATGCATGGCGTATCCACAGCAAGGCAAACAAGGCGTTTGCCTTGGGTGACACTTTCCAGTGAGGTGAGCCGGGCTGCACAGAATCGGGCAGCCTTGGCTGCCAACTCAAGCAAGCAAGACGGCCCCGTGAGCCACTGCCTAATCATAGAGCTCTGAGCTCCCGCTGGAGGAGGAGGGTTGGGTGTTTAGCAGCGCTATTCCTGCGGTGGAGGTGGAGGGGGAACAGTTGGGAGGTATGGTGTTAAAAGTGCAAACATTGCAATTTGGACCCTGTTTTTTATTTGCTATTTTCTAAAACCCCCAATAAGAACAAAAAACACCAAACAAGTAAAAACTTCAAGAAAATGTTTAATCTAATTTATATGGGTTTTTATTTTCTTGCTTTATTAAAAAAAAACTTTATGTATGATCTCTGATCATTATCATATACGGTATGATGCGCTAACACACAAAATACACAAAATTAGTTATCACATGTAAATAAGGAAAAATAACCCCCTTATTGTTATTGTCTAAAACATTTCAAATGAGAACAAGCCACAGCAAACAGTCTACCAAACAGTCTACTAGTCTCCTGTTGACTTCAATGTAATTCTACTTCAAAATGTAAGTTTTGCTAGTTATTTTTAATTCATCCAATTCAGGTTCAAACTAGTTTCGGTCAATTCACTATTAACCATACACCAGTAAGTAGTGGACAGTCTAACACAATTAGCCTGAGTTTACAAAAGATAGGTCATGTCTAACATGTTTCATTTTTACATGGGGTAATTTTAAGTCTGCCTGTTAGAAACACTATTGATATAGTACAGTATACGTGATTGGTGGTATTAGAAGGAATTGGTGTTGCGCCCAGTTTTTTCACACAATCATACGGATGTACTATATTAAAGTGTTGCCAAAGGCCTCTTACTGTAGACATTTACTTAAATAACATTTAATCTATTACTCATGCAAGATATTGCATATAGCAATCACGTGAAGCCATTGCAATGGCTTCCAACTGTTTGTCTGCCAAAACATGTTGACATTTCTTGTGGGCTTGTGCTAAATAAATACTTGTGCAGACACGCACAAACTTTGTTGTCCCCAACGCCCATCAGCCCATGAGACCATGCCTTCCCCAAATGGGGGGCTGGGACTGGATCTCACTGGCCCACTCCCCCCAACCTCAGTTCGCCCCGGTCTCTGCACCATAGGAGCTTACCACTCTAATGTCCCCCCACAGTCACACACTATTATTAGGAAAGCACCAATACCGTTTTTTGCAGACCAAGTACTGATACTTTTCCTCAATTACCAATAATTTTTTTTAGTGTCATGTGACAGTTTTTCCAAAACAATACAGACTAATGAGTTTAGGACAGTGGTGGAATGCTAGGGCCCAGTTGCAGCTGCAACCTCTGCAGCCCTAGGAATTTCTGCCACTGACTTCAAGCTGTAGAGGGACTACAAATCCCAGCAATACATTATACAGCAAAGCAAAATAATACCATCAGCTATAGAGGACTACAAATCCCAGCAATACATTATACAGCAATGCAGAATAATATATGAATTCGCTACATACTCTGTGCTGCCACTCTGCTCCGGGGTGTCGGCCTGATGTCTCGGGTGGAGGGTCTTGGCAGGGGCAGAAGCGGAGGGTCTTGGCAGGGGCAGAAGCGGAGGGTCTCGGCAAGGGCAGAAGCGGAGGGTCTCGGCAGGGGCAGAAGCGGAGGGTCTTGGCAGGGGCAGAAGCGTAGGTTCTCAGAAAGGGCAGATGCAGAGGTTCTCAGCAGGGGCAGATGTGTAGGTGGTGGAAGCCTTGTGAAATTTGCAGGTGGAAAAGGCGGCGTGTGGTTCCCCAGAAGGCTGCCGAGAGGCCCCCAGCATTATGCGGGACCTTACAGCAGCTGAATCTATTTTAAAAATGTAAAGTGCCGGACCATGCCTCCTCCAATGGGGATCTGGACCGAATCTCACTGGGACTCCCCTGTGAGATTGGGCCCTGGTGCAGCCACACCAGCTGCACCTGCGGTAGGACCGCCCCAGCATGGGAATGTTGTATTTGCTAAAAGAGTGTGGTAAAGATTTAGCTTGCAAAGGATGCTCAATCACATGCAAGGAAAATAAGAAAAACTTGCACATGATTGGATGTTGAAAGTCAGCAGAGCTTCACATCATTCACTAAGCTAGAAAATTCGCTTTTTGCAAAGTAAACAGTCAATTTGCCTTTAGTACATCAACCTTAGTATCTTTATCTTATATTCAGCACAATGTTCTTGTGCGCCAACTGGGCCACCATATTTGGCTTGATCCCAGTCAGTACCTTAGAGACATGCAGAAGGACAAAAGGGAAATCCTCCAAATGCATACATTTAAGCATTACATGCAAGAACAAGGTTAGTGTTTTTTTTTTTGTTAAGAGCGTAAATATTAGCTGTGCCATGAGGCTGTCATGCCCTTCAACAACTACTTGCTGTATCTGTGTGCATTGACTAAGTGTGCTCTGTTTCTGGGTGATCTTACTGTGTGAGCTCTGTTTGTGTAAGCTTATGTACAGTATGTGTGCTGCGATTGTGTATGCGCTATGACTGCATGTTTAGTCTGCCAGTGTGTAGGCTCTGACTACGCTGTATTCATTCTCCTAAATGCATTTTCTCGTTGCAAAGAGTTGTATCTTGCTGTGTGTGTATACTTTATATACTATGCACTGTATGTTGTATTAGGGATGTATCAACATTTTGCATGTTTCCTGTGCACCATGCTACCAAAAGCTACACCAATATGCTGCAAAATGAACACCATATTTGCCTTTAGTAAAGCAACCGATGAATCTCCTAGGTACTTCCCTAGAATAACCCAAAACCCACATTTTAAAGATCCAGATGGCCACCATTAGTATCAAGGCATATTATTTAGCATATTGTTTAAACTATTAATTTATTTATTTTTTTGCAGCTAGTGTTTCTTTGTGACTAATATGTGATTTATGGATTAAACACTAATTTTGACATTTTGATTAATATAATGTTTGTAAATACAATTTTTCACTTTCTAATCGTTGGCCAGTTGAATCAGAATGAAACCACAATTGAAACAACTTACCATAAAGTTCTTGGATTCCACTTATATCATCTTGTGAGAGACGGAATTTCTTAGTGTAGGTATAAATTGGGGCCATCAAAGCACCTGGGTCATCAGAATGTTCCAGTCCAAGAGCATGTCCAAACTCATGAGCAGCCACAAGAAACAGACTGTAACCTAAAAAAAAATGCTTTTATTGAGATGTTGATTTTTTTAAATTTATTTTACTCTGCATAGAGTATTTAGAACAAATAACACATGTTTGCCATTTATTTGTTATGGTTTACTGCACTTCGCATATTCCTCTTTCCACTATTAATAATTATCTAGGAGCATAATTATAAAACCTTTGCCCAGGTGAACATAAGCCTAAAGTTGATCATCACGTTTACCATATTTTAAGACAGCGAATGAGTACCTAACAAATGTGGCAGCTGGAAAATATCCAATAAATGTCACTGTTGTAGTAAGCTGCAAGTGAAGCATTAACTTTGGCCAATGAATCGACTGGTCAGAACCCTCCATAGTTTCACTGTATACAGTTCCAGCACCTAAAGATAATTTTTTTCCTTTAAGTGCTGGAACTTCCTTTAAGTCAACCCTTTAAACAAAGACATGACTGTAAAAGAAATGCCACTACCAAATGCTGCTCCTATCCTCAGAAATCATCTGCTAAAGTTCACAAGGAAACCAACTTCCTGGAGTGTCGATCTAGCTGGCAGTGGTTCTTTCTGCTGACCTCCACATCACTACTTTATTTTGTAATAGGCAAAAGTCACAGGAAGGAACCAATGAAAGCCATGGGAAAACTAGGAGATCATCACTCCCAGAAGTGTTGATTTTAGTGCAGACTTCAGTACAAGAATTATCAAGATCGGAGCAGCATTCAGCGGCACAGGCAGCAAAGAAGGTGAGCATTTACACTCTTTTTACAGGTATGGCTTCATTTAAAATCTTCACAGGGCCACTTTTAGGACTTGGATCTGAGATCCAAGCTGGTCTTCTCAGTTCAGTTGGTTATCATTGCCTGTGGACTGGTGGATGCGTTTCTGGTCACAACCTCTCCTTTCTGACAAGACACTTGCAGCAGGGCAGGCAAGCAATGCTAGCACATGTTTTGCAAGCTGTGATAACTGGTCCATCTTGGACACAGTAGTCCATGGGGAACTGACATACTTATTGACCACCATGAACAAGTTGTGCCTGTGAAGCCACCCAGGGACAGGCCTGCACATTGCCACCTTTAGGTACTTTGCAACATTTTTGTAAGATGCCCCTTCTCACTTCGTTTGATGCTCACTCACTTTGACCTCCAACATTTTGTAATTGTAATATTTAATATAATATTTGTAATGTTTTAGCATTCATTTTAATATTGTATTGTTTTTGTTTGAAAAAAAGAGCAGAAAAGTGTAATGTTACAGTGTCAGTTAAGGATAATAATGTGTTTGTCTTTTATAAAATCTTTTTTTTTTAAAGTAGCCTAGTCTCAGAAAGCGGTAACCCATGCTGGTTTACCCATTCTACTAAATTTTCAATAGGTAGTGGTTGAAAACAATGGACAACATCACATTAAGAAATGGCAGGCATGTCTCATGCAAGCTGTAAAGCCCTACTACAATTTTCCTGTGCTTCAGCTGTTTAGGAGCCAATTTCCACTGGTCTCTACCGCCCCCATGCCTAAAGCCATTTCCTCTTCCTTAAATTGCATTTCCACTTTCGCAGCAAAATTGGGATAACACATATTTTATGTTTGTTATATGTTCCCTTTCACAAAGCGTAAGCTAAAAAGAAAAGAAAAAATGCTTGCAGTTTAAATTGCTTATACTTGGTTTAGGGTTTTAAGGGTTACAATTTCTTCTTGCTTTTATTTCTTTGAAATGTTAGAAGGGGATCTAAGGGGTGAGGGGTCTGAGGTGGACCATTGTCCATTGTATGTTAATGAAGCTCATCAGATATACACAATCCTCACATTTCAGTCCTAAGTTTCTCCATTAGGACAAACCACTGTGAAAGGGCATGAGAAAAATGTGGAATCAGCCATCTTGCCTGCTTTAACAAAAAAGTAAAAAGGTAGAAGTTTTTTTTTAAAGTTATTTTTTAGTATGCTGTGTGAATAGGAACACATAATAAACATATAGAGCAGTTTTCTCAAATTTGAGAATAGGGCATTATGGGATAGGCTGATGAATTTTCCTGCAAACATCTCAGTTCAGTTCAAGCTCCCCTAATACACAATATTTAGTGAGAATGTTACTTTTACCCAAACATAAACAGAAACACTACTGGGCATGACCAAAATTTGATGATTTCACTTTGGTATAATTTTGCCTACAGGTGGTGTAAGTTTAATGAAGGGCTTTTAAGAGTTTTAACTTTGACTTTTGTCTATTGTTAATGCTCTGAGTGTTATCTTGTTTGTTTTGATTGTTGTTTGATATTTTGAGGTGTGTTAAACAATGTGTGTGAAAAATATGTACATTTTTTTAATTAGAAGGTACACTGTAGGTTTATTGTGATGGCAGAAATGGTAGATATAATACTTGTTAATCCTCCCAAGATTTCAGAGCGCTCATATACGTATTTTCAACTGATGAACTGTCTCCTTTATTTATTACAGGTATTTTTATAGGGCTGCCAATTTACTTGCACACACATACTAATGCCAATTCAAACTGAAGCCAATTAACCTACCAGCATGTCTTTGGAGTGTATGAAAAAATGCACGCTATCACAGGGAGAACATACAAACTCCATGCAGATAGTGTCCTGACCTGGTGATGCCACCAGGCTTCCTATATCGGATACAGTAAAATAACATTTATGATTTATATTGCAATTCTTGATAACTTTTTTAATTCTAGCACTGCACTTGAGGTTACATAGTTATGCCAATTTATGTCCTCTTCCTTAGTGCCAAAATAATATGTTGGAACATCAGTTAAAATTTTCTGTAACAGATAATCTTTATGAGACACACAAAGATCAATTGAAATATCCCAGTTAACATGAATTTCTATTTGTATGTCAAATACAGATGATCTTTTTGGATCTATGCTATGGAGCACTATGTTGCAAATCATTTTGATTTGTGGATGTTGTTGAGGAAGTTAACATAAGACTGATTTGCAAGTTATTGTTAAAAAAAAAATACTGGAGAGGGTGGATTAAAGGGAAACACTGAAAATACACAAATCCTTTAACCAACATGCCTGGGGGATTCCTTAAAGCTGTATGTGAAGTTATGGAACAGAAAGGTAGGAGTGAACGCTTTAAAAGTGACAGTGAAATAAAAAAGAACTACCGCCTTTAAATCACAGATCTCCAGCCGGCTTCTATTTGTAAACCAACCAGCCAGGAATCCTGGATGATGTCATTGACTAGATGTAGTAATGACCATATTTGCTCAATAACGTCACCCAGTATCCTCAGCTTGTTTGTCTACAAACAAAGGCCGTCCAGACATTTTGTGGCGGTAATGTGGCAGAGAAAGATCATGAAATGGCAAGTCATTGTAGGGGCAGGGCCACATTGTTAACAGCGAGTCTTTGAGGTGGTGGGTCATCATGACTGATGTCATGATTCACAATGGATCTACTTAGCTGGGTGATGTGATTGGCGCTGGATTTACATATTTTTTTAAATAAAAGACTTTTTCAAAGTGTGGGTGTCTAATACGTTTTACATTTTTGGGGGAATGAGTAAAAAGTAAAATATAGGTACTCATGTACTTCATACTCTTCCATGGTGGGGTGGATATCTGGGGACCATTTATTATAAAGAGGGCTTCCAGATTTTGAAGCCCCTTCCCCGTAAATTCCCAATATGGGGACAATTGGCCTTGTAAGGGGGGTGCCCAGGCTTGCTGTGTACCCTCCCAATGTTGAAGACATGTGTTTTTGTATGGTTTAGGAGTGGGGAGGGACACCCTCACTGCCGTCCTTTTCCTGACCACTTGGGCTACACATTTTTAATAAAGGACTTTTTCATGAAGTGGGTGTATTTACTTTTACATTTGGGAGGGCACTCATGTGCCCTAAACTCATTCTCTTAGGGGAGAGGGCCGGATATCTGGGGACCCCCTTATTACCTTATTATAAAGCAAACTTCCCACCTCACAAACCCCCACATCCTTTTTGAGGGACAAGATGTGGGGATGATGCCCTTTCCCCCTCAACAAGGGGAAAATGTGCCTTACAAGGTCCACTCCCAATGTTGAAGGAATGTGGCCTGGTTTAGTTAAGAGGAGGGACACACGCTCGCAACCTTCCTTTCCTTGGCAACAAGGCTGCATGCCTGGATAATTAAAAAGGGAAGAAACATGATATTTAAATTATCCAGCTCATGGTATAGCTAGTAGTAGTTAGTCACATTAAATTGGACGTGAAGTTAAACAGATGGATATTACTTTTTTCTTACATAGTCGTACATATTTAGTCAGGTTGGAAAAAACAGTAATTCTTTACGTCATTATTTAAATATGTTTATCATTACCTTGATCTGGGCAGAAACCCCATTTGCGGTCATTATCGTAGTTGCTGGATGTTGCACACCATAGTTTGCCATCACTTCTTCCAGTGCTGGTGCATGAGTTATAATTATTGCCAAGAAAAGTAAAAGGGAAAACACAAGGAGAGCCATCTGAATTTCCGCCCACTGTGGAGAGTGCTAAAATGAAAGGATGTATTGCCTTTAAAGAAATTGCACATCAAACAAATGTACACAATAAAAAATAATTTTGAACTTCTGACTCTTATACATCCCTTTTTTACATTCAGTAAAATGAATGATGTTTTTCAGTCATTTAGAGTGTTGCATTTCTGATACCTTTCCTTACAACCTAAAACATGGTGTAACTAGTTGCATATGATGAATTCAAGTCAATGTGCAAGTTATTTAGGATGTCTTAGCAAAACAGATATTTTGAAAATGTGTTAATGAATTATATATTAGGCCATGTTTATGTTATGTCGCGTGCCATATATTAGACTACGTTTGTTTTGCCTGATTGTGGACACAAATACACATGTAAACCTTACTCTAGAGTTTTCTAAAACTAAAACTGGACCTAAAGTATAAGGAATGTGAAACGTTTGTGTGGCTTGTTGTGTTTATGGGTCTGTCTGATTTCTTTTTAAGGCATAGCATATTTTCATTTATATGCACATTTAACATATTTGTTTATAAATATGTCCAATGGAATAATAGCCTCAGTCATTTTCTGCTGTAATCAAGCAGTGTTGTATATTCTTCTATTCTCACTTTAAAACTTTAGCCTGACTTGAAAGTCAGCTTCTTTGTCTTTGCTTTTCAGGATTATCCCTGAGTGCAGCACATACTTCACTTTATTGCTGTGAATATAGTTCCACATGCAGTGAGGCCAGAGGATGTGGAGGAAGTCGATTCAGAAATTGCACCGGCATGAAAACATATTTAGCTTGGTGTATAAAATCTATGTGCAATTGTCTACCAGAAGATAAAGAATGTGCTCAAAATTGCAGAGCAATTATTGTGGGAACCACATTCTTCTGTCATAAGTGGTGCAAACAAACTGCTCATCTAGCCCATGAGAAGCATTAAGGTATTTTACATAGCAAGCAACATTTCAAGCAAACATTTTGGCCAACTTTTCTAAGGCTTATAGACATTTCCAAAAGCTTGTGTCTGCAATTAGCAGGCTGTAATTTGCAGGTGCGATTTCCAACAAGGAAATCAACTACCGCTCCAAAAGAACCATTCCAACAAAGTATCGCTTTCTGGTGAAGTAGAACCTTACACTACAGTATAACATAACATAGGTACCCATGTTGTTTTGGGAGGTCCAAAGGGAAGCAAAATTGCTTGGGACTGATAATTTATGAAAACATTTATTGTATCAGAGAACCATGCAGTAGATGCTAGACAACCAGCTAGAGACACAAATAATCCACCTGACACACTATTAACTACATCAAAACCAGCAAGATCTAAGCAGTCTATAAAGCCACCATCAGTTTTAGTGTTTTATTTGTATTATATCTGCTGTTAAGTTTTTTTTATGCACTTACACTTAGGACACTGTAAAAAACCTAACTAAAGTAACATAAAAGTTATTCAGTATGACTGATATTGTTTTAACAAGTTTTCTTTTTTTTTTAGTGTTACCTATACTTTTTGCTATAGCAATGTGTCTAAATATGGAGTCCAAAATGCAGCAAAGTCTGACTTTGCTGACTAGTTCACTCTCTTGTGTCACAAACTTTGACAGAGACACAACCTTTCTTTTTGTTAACATAAGTATGTGTAAGAACATGTGACAAAGGGTGTTGCCATTACTCTATGCGAGCATAGAGCAATGGAGTGGGAGTGCAAGATGTTCAATTTCCACACGAATAAAAATTAAAATCCCAATTTCTGCTTGTACATGACTATAAAGAGAAATACATTTGTTTTTCATTGGGTTTTAAAACTAAAGTTTAGTTAAAAAAAAAATGTAATTATTTTTTTGTGGGGGGGAGGTATACAGTGACAAATACATTAGATATGTGTAATGGTTTGTATTTGCTTAGCTTCATCTGCTTCTTCTAAAAGTCATCCCCTCACTGTCCCCCCAAAGTGGCACTGTGAAAGGCTGCAGTGAGAATATTCTGTGAACAGCCATTGTGAAAAGTTGTACAGCTGGCCTACCTCCTGAGATCTCCCTGCCATTCACAGATCACCTATTACTATTATCCAATAATGCATGGTGTCCTGTGAATAGAGGAGGAGCAGTTGAATGACAGAATCTCCTCCTTCTTTCACATATCTTAATGCATGGGGTCCAGCTTTTACAGTAGATGCTAATAGACTCCTCTCGCTGCAGCCTGAGTGTAATGCTCAGCAGCTGTCAGGGGACAGCGAGGGGAAGATTTTTAGAAGAAGCAGCTATATCTCTCCTCCTTCTCTTTCTATTCCCCCATTCTCCTCCAACTTTTCCTTATTTCCCATCTTCTGCACTTCCCCTTCCTGTCCTCTACACTTGCCATTCTTTACTCTGCTATTACCATTTTTATATTAGGTTTAAACAAATTAACTATAGTGTCATGAAACATATACTTTATGTTCCCATATAGCGTTGCAGTGCCCCTAGGCCCCAGTGCTCCCACTGATATTTCTAGTTTTATTTCTATGCTATCCTCCCTTTCTCCACATTTCTGATTCTCACTTTACTTTACTTTAAAACACCATTTCTGCTGCCTTCTTTGCTTATTGTAAATTGTTATGTGTAAATTCTTCCCTACCTTGACACATACAGTATGTGTGGTGCCAGTGACCAGAGCTATGTAAGTAGTATTATCTGCTCTAGTGGTGCCTCTTTCTACACAGCACAGTACGTTAAAGTGGAAGCAACAATAGTGACTGAATTGAAAAGTGTTTATGGTGTATAAAATTGTGTACAAATAGAAATCTGAAAGATTGTATATATACATAATTAACCTGTCTTGTAAAGAAACAGTTTTGCATAACATGACAACAAGCAGTGAGATGGCTCTAGAGTATAAAGACACATTCATGAAACCATTTTAATTTCATACTTGTTTCTGGGCAGAATCCATAATTTGTATCCTTGTCATAGTCTTCTGTAGTTGCACACCACCTATAACCATCACTTCTTCCCTCGGTTGTACAGCTGTCATAAGTGCTCCCTTGAAACTTAAACGGGAACTTGCAAGGTTTTCCATCTGCATTTCCACCTATTGTGAAGAGCACTGGGGGGGAAAAAAATAACTTATTTTGCTGCCCTTTGCTAAAAGAGTATTCCTACCACTGAATATTATCTGTACACTGGATGTACAGCAGAGTATGGTATAATATATAACTGTATATGTTATTATGCATTTAAATGAAAAGGTTCAAATTGGCACTTACCAATTAGGAACATTCACATCCAATTAAATTAAATTGCAATAGAACTAAAAAAAAAGACCAAGTTCTTGATACATTAATATCCTTGTATATGTCCTCTATCACACCCCATCGTTATCCCATCCTGTACATCAGCCAAAGTTCAAAGTTGCTTATCAAGATTACAAATCATATTGCATATTACCATGGAAATGGTAGCAGCTCTTAATTACTTTTTTGAAGTGTTTTGCAACGCAACTTCAACTTCTTCACAGCCATCTCAGTGCTTTCCCAACAGGTTACAGAAAATTACACCATGTCAACAATGCATCCATTAGAGTTTCTGATCCTTATGACACGTGTCCTATATTCTTACATCTTGACCACAGTTAACACTTATTACTTGAAAATAAATTATAATAAAACACCCAACCCACCTTGTTGGTTTTATACAATGGTGAACACAGCAATTACAAGGTTGAGTGGGAAAGAGGGCAAAGTTCATGGTTAGATATTCCCCCTTTTCTCTCAACTCTCCCCTTTTACTTTACCCCTTCTTCCCTCTGAAGCAAGCAGCTTTTTACCTTGAAATGAGTACTCCTATGCTTGCCACTATCTAGCATTCGTTTGGTTAACTAATGTGGAAGTCTCAACTGCAGCACTATGGTCCTCAGTTTAAAAAAATGCCGGGACACTATTTGCATGGAGTCTGCCTTATCACCCTGTGCTTGCAGAGGCATCATCTGGGTACTCCGATTTCCTTCCATACTCAAAAGTCTTGCTGGTACTAGATGGTTGCCTCACCTCCTAAGTGCTTTGCATCCCCGTGGAGAGAAGTGCTATAGAAATACAAATAAAAAGTCAGCTGGCTTTGGCAGCCACCTGGAGGAAGGAATGAGCAGGGAGACTCGAGATCACATCTCCTTATCCCCTAGTGTCAACATTTGGTGACACACAAACACCAACACAGCCAATGTTGCCGTAGGGCAACACGGTCATGTAAGAGAAAGAGCCTGCTGAGAAAGCTGAGATGGACCTTGCTCCACAAAATGTGTCAGAACAGTCACTATTTTTAGTCGCCAACCTCTCCATGGTTATATGTAATATGATTTCTGATGCTGATCAGGATTTTTTCATTTCAACCTTTGCATAGAATGTGACACTGTATATGAATATTGTAATTACAAGGTATAGGCACCTTTATTTGATTGACACAGTGCTTTTAAACAAGGATTCATGCTCCCGCTACTTGGGGCATCTTGAAGAAGAATGTGAATTTAATACTGTGGACAGGAGTTTAATGTTGAACCCAATCACAAGCAGATAAGGTAGTCATGTATTTGAAATAAAGGGGCTTAAGATAGTATATATGGTGTTTTACTTAAATACAGATTGTTACTATCACATGGCATATTATAATGAAACACATTACAATATAGAAAAAAAGAAAACAATACATACACACTTACCATTGCTAAACAAAGAACATTACATATTGTTTTATCAAAATCATAGATGCAGCCTTAGAAAACAAAGGTCAGATCTTTTTCTGAGGCTTTTGGCTACACGGGAAAAACACTTCTCCATATAAAATTAATATTTTAGCCCTTTTAGCACAGACCTGGTAGAATAAAGATATGGTGCTACTAATTTTGTAGGTCCTGCGATAATTGCGAAAATGATTATCAAATCAATATTAAACCGATAAAAATACATAATTAAATTGATAAAAGCACACTAAAATCAGTGCACACAAATACTTTTCTGACTAAATCTAAAAGATAAAACTGTACTGAGTTAATAAATAACAATAGTTGTCAATTTAAATTGCCCCTTTTTGCGCAACGGTAGAAAAATGAAATGACACAAAACTGTAATTAAGCAACTTATGTTGAAAATCGTATGTGCACTGTTGGTGTGTGTTGTGATAAAATTATACAGTCGTATATTTAATAGCAACACAGTGTATCACAACGCACGGCAATGCGTCACAACGCATTGTGCTGCATCAGTGACATTAATGTTATTTTAAAAATACTAAATCAAGCACAGCGATGGGTTCTAACAATGCACCGCAGCAGATGTGCATGGTGTACACCACAATATGGTGCACACTGTTGCCACGTGTATGTTATCTGTGTGTGGGGAGGGTTTTGTTTTAATTTTTTTTACTTTTTATTATTATTTTATTTTTTTACTGTTGGGGGGCTTCTGGGAAATATTACAGGGTCTAAACAGACCCCTGAAATTTCCCTTTTGATATAGAAAAAGAAATTGAGGACCCAGAGTCCTCAATCTCTTTTTCTGCAGCCTCTATTCTAAATATTCTAAATTAATGAAAAGCCATCAGCACAGAGCCTTCCCATTCATTCAGAAACTGGTGATAGTAAAATATTTACTATCAACCAGTTTCTGAATGGGAAGAAGCCTCTGTACTGAGTGCTTCTCCCCATTCAGAAACTCATGAATGAACAGGAAGTGATGTAAAGCACTTCCTGTTCATTCATAACTGGGGATGAATGAAGTTGATCACTCCAGTGTTTGCTCTGAACACAAAGAATCGGTAAAGATCACAGATATTTACCGATCCTCCGCTCGGGCAAGCACAGAGATGCTGTCATACGTTCTTCTCAGCCGCTGATGACAGCTATTATTTTACAGGGGAGAGTCAGGAGGACCCTTCTGGTATAAGTTCATGGTAGCTAAAGTGACCATGAGCTTATAGCCCAACGTATGGCATACTGAGGTGGCCAACTGCAAGCGGTTGTATTCTGCCATATGCCATACATCGCTGGCAGTGAATTTTCCTTAATATAGTAAAAAAATAAAAACCCCAGTGGTGAATAAATACCACCAAAAGAAAGCTCTATCTGTCCCCAAAAAAGGGTATAAAATTCATTTCAGTACAGCGCTGCATGACGGAATAAATGTCAGTCAAAGTACCGCAGCGCTGAATACTGAAAAATGGCCTGGATGGGAAGGGGGTTTAACACCGCGGATGTCAACTGGTTAAACTCTTCTTTTAAAATGTAAATATCTCTAGCTGCAGGAGCCTTAGATATATCTTCTACATTATTACCAGGGCAAATTGCATGCTCACTTTCAAGGATAAGTAGCTGATGTGTATATAGAAAAAAAGGAGTGGTTTTGAAGTGCTCTAGAATCCTGTATCTTATCATTCTTTTTCTTTAACTGGCTATTTAGGGTTACTATATAGTGATTGAGACCAGAGGAGGACTGGAAACTTTTTGGGTGTTATTGTAAAGAACATGGTTTACTGTAACACACCTTTTTACATATACAGTGAATATAAGCTAAAGAAAGGGTAAAGTAAGTAAAACTTGGATAGAAGAGGAACTAGACTGAATGAGAAAATAAGCTGAATAAGAAGACTGCTGGTCTGTGAAAATGAAATGTACTTGCCCAAATAAAAATGCTAAATACCATACCATCGTCCCAAATATTCCTTATCATTCATCTCTCTTAAAAAATAGGCACAACCCATTTCAGAGTTATGCATTCATCCAGCATTGACTTCCTTGACAGCTCTCTGCATTTAGTTGCATAACTTCTCAAAACTGCAAATTAAACACCTCTTTACCTTATTGTCACGAACTGCGGCGCCGTCTCGTTGCTAGGAGACGGGCCGGCAGGCTTGCGTATTCGGCTCCTCCCTCCAGACGTCTCCCTCGGACTCGTCACACATAGGAGTAAGGGTGTAGCAGCCTGGCCCTTCGGAAGCATCCCGTTGCTAGGAGACGTTCGGGAGGGCCTCTGCTGACTGCTCCACCCCAACACACCTGCCTACTCATAAAAGCCTGGAAGGCACACTTGCTCAATGTTCTAGCGAGGTAGAACGTTGAGCAATTTCTTAGGGCTCATACCTCTGCTCCAGCACATGAACCTTTCACTCCAGCAGCATTAATCCGGACTTCTTCCAGCACAGCAGTGATCCTTCGCCCTGTACTCCTGGAGGGCTCTGAATACCCCAACAAACCGCAAGTACCATCCTGGACCCTGTAATTGTTTACATTGCCTGCAACTCAGTGGGGTTTAAAGAGACACTGCTCTACAAAGGGGGGTTGCTCAGGAGTACTCCTAATTACTGTTTGATAAGCCTGCAATAGTGTTATGCATTAGTGGAGTGAACTACTGTATACCAAAACAAATACGGGACTACTTTTCTTTCCTCTGCCAAGTTGCTGTAGTTGCTATAGTTTTTTGCATTCGTGGAGTGAACTACTTTATTTTGAACTACAAATCCCCACAGGCCCCAACTAACCACAATATTGCAAAGAGGGAAGGTTCACTTGTTGTTATCTCTGCAATTACAGCCTGTGGTGGCATATGATGTGTTAAGGGTTCCAACCTCACTCAGCCACACTAAAGAGTGTAAGTGTGAACCCCCCACCTGAGCCATCCACAAAGCCTCTCCGCAGCTGAGATCCTCAGCCAAACTCGCTCAATCATTACACTTATTCACTTAACTAAGTGAGAATTCACTTTGCAAGGTGAATACTCCATCATCTGAGTACTGTCCATGATACTCTTTATTTTGCACTAACAGTTATTTTTCAGGAAGTCACCACTAGCTCCATCCAATTGTTTATATCTGTCAGATTATTCATTCTGCAGCGGGAGTTCGTCACGTGCGGTCGGGTCGGCGTGCGTCCTTTTGTTTTTTAATGATTTTTTTTATTTTGCCCAGTCATGGTCATCGTGGACACCACTGGACATCATGATTGACCTTAGTATTATGTCAGTGGATTCATTTTTTGATTTTTTGAAATAAAAAAAAATCCCCGTGCCCCATCGGAACGGGGACAATGTGCTTTTTTTCTATACATAAAAATCATTGTGAAAAGGTGAAGAAAAGAAAAAAAAAACAGCCGACTATTATACAACTACTGTACCTCCAGGATTCTATTACCTATTTCTTCAGAAAAAATATTTAAATAGTTCTATTGCCGCTCCAAGTTTTCATTCTCTCCCACTGGGCGCTAACCCATAGCTTCTTTATATAATGTCCAAAAAGTTAACTCACGGACATTACTTCCACATACCTCTGAGAGTTTTTAAATTTACTCCAATTGGCCCCAATTTCAAAGTATGACATATGGGAATTTTTATTATTTTCTTAACTTTTTTAAAAATATTTCTTTATTTTTTTACATTTATTTAAAAAATTTGTAAACATTTTTTGTACTTGTTTAAATTTTTTGCTATTCTGCTCGCTACCTCCTTTCAGCAGCATTTGGCTATTCACTCACTGCTGTTTGGTGCCAGGCGAACGGCAGTAAATGAGCTTCCGGAGCTTCGGCTCAGCCGATCCATATGTTCGATCGGCTGAGTCGAACTCCTTCTGCACTTCGGCTCAGCCAAACACGCAGAGCATGTTCGGCTGACCGAAAGCAGACGATGTATGGCTGATTTTAACAGATGTACGGCTGAAATCAGCCGTGCAGGGCTGAAGTAAATAGCCGAACTGCGTGCGGCTCACTTCACTTTGGCTAGGTTATTCACTTGGGAGCCTTTGGAAACTTTGTGAATATCCTCCTAACAATCTCTGGAAAAAAAAAGAAACACACAAAAAAGGATAAAGCTAGTCAGATAAGAAGTAGAGAATTGAGCTATGGAATAGGAGGGGAGAAAGACAGAGATGCGAATAGTCATTCAACTTTTTGATAGTGATTTAGAAAAGTGAGGTCCACATTTAATCAGTTATTCCTTGTGTCAAATAGATTATAATTTGCAATTTAAATGTTTTCCTTTGCAGAGTATTTTTAAAAAAAATAAACATTCATGTCTTCCATAGAGTGGTCTGCTTGTAAGAACTAATTTAGCTACAACGACTTTAGCTTACCCCGTTAGTAATATCAAATTTGGAGCTGTCTATACATTTTTCACAATTGTCCTAAAAATTTGTGTCTGGAGTTGACATCCCTGCTTCACTAAAATTTTATTTTGACCTTTTTTGTACAATAAAAGGATTAGATCCTTTGATTAGGAGAAGTTAGCTCTGCAACACCCTCTCCAGATACCAGAAAAGATGGCACCAGAAGCTGGAGCCCTCATGTTATCATTGAAACTATTAAACATTACAAAGAGTCACATTTATAAGGCCACTCCTGCAAAATCAGGTTGGACTTAATCTTCAAGTCATCCAAACTTTGCATTGTTCGGAGACCAAGTGGACTCCACCTAAGTGTTTTTTCACTTTTAAACATTCTTATTTTACTGTTGCATATGTCTGTTTTGTGATACCTCTCTATAAAAATGTATTTTCATTAAAATTATATTTCAAAATTGTTAAGCAGAATCTCTGAATGGTCTAACTAGAAATGAAAGAACTCTGGCTCTCTGAGGGGCCCATTTAAACTGGTCCAATGCATTAATTGCAAAAAAAGATCTCATTACCCCTGCAGCTGACAAACTATTGTTGCAGAGCTAAACGCCATTGCAAGAATGTGGATACCATTGCAAGAATGCTTTAGACTTACATTCGTGAGGGCAGAATCCATATTTTTGATCTTTATCAAAGTCAAATGTAGTGGAACACCAGATAAATCCATCACTGCGGCCAACATCCGTGCAACTGTTGTATTCTTTACCATTGAATTTGAAAGGAAAATTGCAAAATTCTCCATCTGCATTTCCATATTTGACCTTCACAACTAAAGTGGATGGTAGGAGATAAAAAGCAATCAATCCAATAATTCTAGTAAAAGCACAGTGATACCATTTGCGAATATTGTCTTCATTTTTTAAGTTAACCAATATGTAGTGAAAGCAAGAAAAACTGAAAGAGACTAACGGTTAGCTGGGAAGGAGCCTTAAAACAAGCTTTGCATGAAAAACCTCTTCTACCTAGTATAATGTGTATTTACCAAAGAAATGGATGTTCAGCTTTTTTTACTTCAGTTAAATAATACTGTATACTAAGGTTTAGATACATAGTAAAAAATCCCCTACCCCAATCAAAAAGCTTTATTAACTAAAAAGAACTTGATGAGTTTAGGTCCTCCAATCATCCAAACTGAAATCCCTTTCCCAGAAATGTTTCTCTGATATTTAGCTGGCTCCAAGAATTTTCCCCATAAGCATATTTTTCCAAACCACATGCATTTGCCTTTGGTTATACCTTTACTGGTCTGGGATTAAATTACTCAACCCATAATAAAATACTTTATTCCTAAATCAATTGCAAACATTTTGCAAAGCATTTTTGGTTTCTTCTCCTGCTTATATTAGATCCATTCTATCTATTGACGGACCTGTATATTAACCCTTCCCCCTCCCTTATACGACACATCTATGCATTAACCCCTTCATCTCCATTCTCCCACTGTATGTGACCTGTACATTAACCTCTTCACTTCTGACTCCCTCTGTCTATGACCTGTACATTTATTGTATCTTGTGCACTTTTACTAAGCTCCATGTTTTAAGCCGCTCAATATCTGCATGTTTCTTCATTTCCAAAAATTGCAGCAAAAATAAAAAATCAGACTTTGAATTGTCCACTTTCCAAAAAGGTAAATTTCTGGGATTTTCATACTGTCTTGACATTTTAATTTGCCATGATTTGCAAATGAATGTAAGAGAAACAGGCTTTTTTTCAAATTGTTTGGTCTTTTTTACTTTATATAGTAAAAAAATTAAAAAGTAGTTATTAAACACCACTAAAAGAAAGCTAAAATTATATAAAAAATTATTTTGTTAGTGTTCCATAACAAAGGAACTCTCAGTCAAACTTGCACAGTGCTATAAAATGGCCTGGAAATGAAGGGGGTTTAACATGCCAGTACTGAAATGGTTAAAGTGTGAAAATAAAGCATGACACAATGTTAGGCCTTTAAAAGAGAACTATGGGGTAAGTGTTTTTCCCCATAGTTCTCTTTAGGGTCACAGAAGGACATATAATAACCTTCTCCCGTGACCCAAAGCTCAGTATATAGCAGGCTATTGCCCGCGATATTCTGAGAGCGCCGCAGCCGGGACAGATCCCAACAATACTGTTGAGATCCACCCAGATGCATGATTGACCGCTGGTTCTGCCTTTCTAGAGGCAGTCAGCTGTGCCCACCCATCCCCGTTCGTTCCTCTACTCGGTGCTGGAAGATCAGAGAGGGGAGAAGGGAATCCTTTTTGTTTGCAAAGCATACTTACATGTTTCATTTAATCACGAACCAATAAGCATATTCAAATTAGTTCCAAAGAAGTATATGATTAAATTATGTATGGGAAACTTTAAAATGATTCTAACTTTTTGAAAATTACAGAGAAGTGTACCTGTATATAAGGAAATCATTCTTACCTTGACCTTCTCCTAAGGTCCAAAGCTCATCATCATCAAAGTGGGAGTCTCCACCAATTCCTGATCCTGGTGCAAAAGCATGAGCCAAAAGCCCATCTTTGCCATCAAATGGATATCCATCTCCATGCTCTGAAAGCCATGTGCAAAAATTAAATAAAAACAAAATTACATTAGGACAGTGTAGAAACAGCACTGGTATACATAAGACTAGTGATGAGCAGATCATCCACACAAAGTCTGATTCATGGCAAATTGTACTAATGTGTGTAATGTTACATAGTTTTGCCAATTGTCAGGGGTGTAATTGCAGATCTTGGGGCCCCACAGCATAATTTTGATGAGGCTCCAGGCAACCTCCATACTTGAACTTAATAAAAAGTATGGTGGCAGGCTGTTTGTCAGCATTGTCAGTACAGCCTGCAAAGGGGATCCTGTAACTTGTGAAAATGATTCTGAAATATCCTCCAGTGTGTCAGCTTTTCTTGGCTGGCAATATCACAGGAGGTACAGGGTCAGTGTCAACAGCAACCTCTACAATCCCTAATGATACAGTAATGGGTTTGTGTTATGTTAACATGCCCACAAATTTTGTGTGTTTAGTTTGCCTCAAGAGCCCTCTTAATGGGGTAATTCTCCATCCCCCAGACCCCATAGTAGCCATTTGGGCTGCTATGACTATTGTTATGCAACTGGCAATTGGCACCAATACACCATTTGTCATTTAGACCCCAGTGTGCCAATTTAAGTGGTTGGCAGGCTTCCCTTTAGCACTTTATTGATGTTCTGCTATTCTGCATTGGTTACATCTCTGAGGGATGAATTACCATGAAAAACACTTTAATTCTTCAATTTAGTGTTTGTTTATAATCTATATTCTGATTAATACTGAAAGCACTATTTTGTATACCCTATTTAACTACACTGTAAGTTTATGTTTTATGCAAGTTGTGATGTTGTTACTCATGCTAAGTTACATATCTTTATGTTTCGTATATAACTAAAATAAAGAGTTATATTATCATTAATTTCCTTGGAATGGAATGGCACAATTTTCTGTTCTTGCCTCGGGCACAAAAGAAGCTAACTACAGCTCTGTGTCTCAGCAAAACCTTACAAAAATGTGTTGCGTGTCAGGGGCCAATACCTTCATGTGACTGCTCAGCAATAATACTAAACCTACACAAACCAACACATGCTGTCAGAGGTTGCATGGTTCTCCCTGCCAGATTCTAAGCTGCATTCAGGGGCTGTGCAAGATCAACCCAGAGCACATCAAAGGCAGCATAGCTGGTGATCCAACATCTTTAATTTTTCACCACAGGACTTTAATTGCTCGAAGGCATGCCTTTTTAACATGTGTCTGTAATCTCTTTATCTGAAACGTTTCACAGTATGTTTCTTTCCTGTTTTTTTTCACCACCATCTCTATTCCTGTGTGTCTCACCCCATCCCTACTTTGTATCAGTAAAACCACAGACTTTTTATATAAATCAGTATTTCATGGGTAATGAGAGGCTGTTTGTGTGCCTGCCAAACCTTCATTAGATACTCCTGGTCGCTGTACTCTAAAGTATTGCTGGGAGTTGTAGTCCTCTATAGCTGATACCATTCTGCACTGTTGCAATGCTGAATAGCACCAGCTATAGAGGGCTACAACTTCCAGCAATGATTTATACATAAATGCAGAACAATTCCATCAGTTACAGAGGGTTACAAACAATGTGACTTAAGGCACATACCTTGTTCGACTGTCCTCGTGGTGCGAACACATGCAGCGGGGAGAGGTGGTGGGCTCTGAAATCCAGTGTCTGCTGCTCGTTCCTCCTGGCCGAGGCCCCAGCGCTGCCTCAGAGTTTGCCTGCAGGCTGATGTGATTTCTCCTCCCACCAGCTCTCTCCTCACTGCCGGGCGCCCGCCGCCATCTCTTGCAATTATCCTGGAGCAGCTGGGGCCCAGCCTCCTCCGCCGCTGCTGGGGCCCGGCCTCCTCTGATGCAGCCCGGCACTGCGGGTGCCCGGCCCAGCCGCCTCCACCTCATGTGTCCCCTGTACTGCCGATACCCATGTAAGGGTCCCAGGCCCCCCAGGACCCTCACGAGTATTGGCCATCCCCCCCTGATGGTAGCCCTGCTCCCCAGCCCCTACTACCTGATTGCCCACTCTGTCTCCTGCAGTTCTTCTGCTCCTGGTCACTGAAAAGGCAGAGCCCGCACTGAGGCATGTACAGAGCATCCAGGGCCAGGCACAGCAATTGCATGACTGAAGGGATGCAGGGGATGTCCTGTTTGATAAAACATCCGCTTCACTGAAAAACTTTATTTGTCAGTGACATCGTCACCGAAGTTTTAGCAAACAGGACATCCCCGGCATCCCTTTAGATGGGCTTGTTCCATGCCAGTCTCTGAATGATTTAAAGCCCGGGGCATGTGCCCCCCTCCCTCGCTATGACACTCTGGGGGGGTTGAACCCCCCTATCCCGCTCCTGTCTACGCCCCTGGTAGTGACAGCTGTACAAATTCTTTTCCCCTTGGCCGCTCTGTGGCTGCAGCGGCTGAGGAGGAGGAGAATGTGTACAGCTATATATCAAACAATTAGTTGCGCTGGGAGAAAGCTAATAGTCACCAGCTGCAACAATGTGAGTATAAACGTTGAATAGAAAGACTAGTATGTTGCGCTTGGTGTTGAGCGATCTACTTGGTTTTGATTTTCCTTATGTGTATCATTAAATGTGAAATATTATGTAAATCTAAATATTACACCCGTGATAAATACTAGGGTTGCACAGATACCAAGTACAGTACTCGGTACAAGTACGAGTACATGTACCGATACTTTTGAGCTCCAAGACTAGACTAGAGAAAAATTCAAAAATTAGGAGGCAGCTGTCATTTGTAAGGAGCACACGGAGCTCCTGGGATTTGTACATCTCTGTTTTAATGTACAATTTTGTTTTTATAAATAAAGGGATGCACAGATACCAGTTTTGCGAGTACGAGTACTGGTACTTGCCGAGTACTTACATGTACGAGTACTGATAAATTTTTGTTTATTGTCATGTGACAGTTTTTCTAAAACAATACAGACTAATGATTTCAGGACAGTGGTGGAGTACCACAGCCAGGTCCCAGCTGCAACCGCTGCAACCCTGGTAGTTCTCATGCAAATGCCAAGTATCTGCACTGGTACTCGAAAAGTATCTGTGCATCCCTAGTAAATAGTAATAAAAGTAGTGATTATAGGTCTTTCAGGCTAATGAACTCTGTGAATAATGAACTAGAATCTTTGTTGTAAAGTGATTACTTGTTTGTGTCTCTATTCCAGTGATTATCTCTAAAATATGAGATTTATGAGATTTTCTAACTTCTATATAGTGTGGTCTAGTGAACCCCACCCACCTTGAATAAGTGTATCCACTATGTGTGTTTTAACATGTCACACTGGTGGGTGTGGAATTGTAAAAATAAAATGCACAATGGCAATGATTATTCGTGATTATTAACGATGCATAAACAAATTATAATAATTAATTTAGACTCCAAACAAAGTTGGACAAATAGGTGATATCCTTATCTTAATACATTGTGAAATTGTGTGCTGTAGTAGCTGTTCTATTTAACTTCCCGTGAGTTAATTACAGCCTGTATTCAATGCAGAATGTATTCAATATAACATACATTGTAGCATCTCAACGGTTAACTGTGACAAAAAATCAATGTGCCCAACAAAATAAACTTGGTATAGTCACATGTAAAGGACCTTTCCAAAGTGGAGCGAAGTCAGCAAAAATGCTGCTGTTAAGGCTTCTGTAAATAGTAATAAAAGTAGTGATTATAGGTCTTTCAGGCTAATGAACTCTGTGAATAATGAACTAGAATCTTTGTTGTAAAGTGATTACTTGTTTGTGTCTCTATTCCAGTGATTATCTCTAAAATATGAGATTTATGAGATTTTCTAACTTCTATATAGTGTGGTCTAGTGAACCCCACCCACCTTGAATAAGTGTATCCACTATGTGTGTTTTAACATGTCACACTGGTGGGTGTGGAATTGTAAAAATAAAATGCACAATGGCAATGATTATTCGTGATTATTAACGATGCATAAACAAATTATAATAATTAATTTAGACTCCAAACAAAGTTGGACAAATAGGTGATATCCTTATCTTAATAAATTGTGAAATTGTGTGCTGTAGTAGCTGTTCTATTTAACTTCCCGTGAGTTAATTACAGCCTGTATTCAATGCAGAATGTATTCAATATAACATACATTGTAGCATCTCAACGGTTAACTGTGACAAAAAATCAATGTGCCCAACAAAATAAACTTGGTATAGTCACATGTAAAGGACCTTTCCAAAGTGGAGCGAAGTCAGCAAAAATGCTGCTGTTAAGGCTTCTCTTCCACCTTCCTAGTAATTTAATCTGTCATACACATCACATACTGCAAGCGTTAAAGTCCTCTTTTCATAAGGAAGAAGTTGTTTATATCTGCAGTCCACTTATCTATCCTTATCGAGGTCAAAAATCAGGGAAACAGTCGGCAAAAAGGTAGGATTAACGTGTCTATTCCTTCACTCTGTCACAGAGCTGGTAAAACCACTCTTGTTTCTTTCCCCTCCGGTTAACCCGTCTTTCTCCTCTACGGCGGCGCTATCAACCCACCGGGTGTGATTGAAAACCGGACCGGTCAGATTTGATGAAGGGAAAATGAAAGAAAAAACACTCCTAAGCGCAGCAATCAAACAATTTATTTAAAAGCAAGAAATGTTCGCACTTACAAGATTGTAGGGTATAAAAGCATTTGAGCGTAAAGGACACTCGACTTGCAGATCATCCGGTATATCGGAGAAAATCCCTTGACGCTTTTCGTCGTGTCTGGACTTTTTCAAAAGGGTCCTTTACATGTGACTATACCAAGTTTATTTTGTTGGACACATTGATTTTTTGTCACAGTTAACTGTTGAGATGCTACAATGTATGTTATATTGAATACATGCTGCATTGAATACAGGCTGTAATTAACTCACGGGAAGTTAAATAGAACAGCTACTACAGCACACAATTTCACAATTTATTAAGATAAGGATATCACCTATTTGTCCAACTTTGTTTGGAGTCTAAATTAATTATTATAATTTGTTTATGCATCGTTAATAATCACGAATAATCATTGCCATTGTGCATTTTATTTTTACAATTCCACACCCACCAGTGTGACATGTTAAAACACACCACACATAGTGGATACACTTATTCAAGGTGGGTGGGGTTCACTAGACCACACTATATAGAAGTTAGAAAATCTCATAAATCTCATATTTTAGAGATAATCACTGGAATAGAGACACAAACAAGTAATCACTTTACAACAAAGATTCTAGTTCATTATTCACAGAGTTCATTAGCATGAAAGACCTATAATCACTACTTTTATTACTATTTACAATATATTAATCATCACGGGTGTAATATTTAGATTTACATAATAGTTCACATTTAATGATACACATAAGGAAATTCAAAACCAAGTAGATCGATCAACACCAAGCGCAACATACTAGTATTTCTATTCAATGTGTACAGCTGTCACTACTGTATGCTGGCTTCACTGATCGAGAGCGGCGATCACTCTTCTCAGCTCTCTCTTCTCAATGAGAAGAGTGATCGCTGCTGCAGTGGCCGTTTTCAAAGGGCACCGGCTCAGTCCCCCTGCTAGTGTCCCTCTCTACAGGACCTCAGTGGGCCCCTCAACTGCCTTGGCCCCCGGGCGCCCGCACCGGCTGCACCGCTGATAGTTCCGCCCCTGACTCTGTGCTATACATATCCCTGACCCCCACACTTAGTACTTTACATACCTCTGACTCCTGCACTCTGCCCATTACATTATTCTCACTCCTGGACCCTGTATGTGATATACTCCTGACTCCGGCATTCTGTACACTGGGCTGAGACTCCTGGTGTCTGTACCTTACAATTACCTTACCCACTGATACCAACTCTAGGGCATTATTAATCCAGCTGGCCAGTGACACCAAAACACTCTTATTCCCACTAACTGCTGGCATATGGGCATTCTCCTAATGACCACCGATGCCCAGCATTATTTCCAACTTTTTTTACCTTCAATTGGCCACAAACACTGGGATTTTTTTGCTCCTACTGACCACAGATGTTCCTATATACTGTGCCTGACCCCTGCATTACATGCCTGACCCCTGCATTGTGTGTTACATATTCCTGATCAAAGTGTTTATTGTCAAAAAGGTTCCTGTGTCGTATCCAACAATTTTAATGAAGCTCTTCTTTCAGTTAGGCACAGACAAAATGAACCAGTTTTTGTATTTGTGAGACTCTTGCTCATTGCACAGTAGTTTAGGGGTATTTTATGGATATAAGGTGCATACAGTGTATACTCTAAGTAGGCATAGACTGTTTTCAGCCATGCCCCTTTAAGCCACACCCAATATGTAATACAATATGACACATGTTTCTTCTTTTTTCCAAATGTACTCATTTCCCAAGGTCTGATATGGTTACATATTGTAGGTCCCACTAACCTTAGCCTCCCCTCACTGCAGTAAGTCAGCATTTAATTCACCATTTAATTCTTCCAGCTGTATGACAACCAATGTTGTACTGTGCCTGGACAGTGACCACAGACAGCCTATGATAATGGACATAGCTGTCTAACATGTTCATTAGGTGCACTGTCAGTCTGTATAGTAGTAAAGCAAAACTAATTTCTGTTTTGTGAAGCTGCATTAAAATATTTTAAAGTTACATAATAAAATTATTTTGGTTTCTACCAAAATAGAGTGTGGTGTCTCACTGGGGTAGAGGTTCTGGCTCTGGCTACACTGCAGAGGCAGTGTGCCTTAAAATAGATACTTTAAGACCAGTGACATGCAGTGCGTTTGGTGCTGGGTGAGGCATCCCCCCTGCCCGCTGACGCCCCGCCCCCCAACTCGGTCACCAAACTATCTGTGGAGAATGGAGGGAGAAGACAGGGAGGAGCCTCCCTGTCCCTCACTTGCTTGTCACAGGTGATGCATAGAGTTCAATGTATTCAGTGTTTTTTTTCTTTTTTTTTGATTGCCTCACCTGCATCCCCTGACCACATGTCCCTGCTTAAAGTGACATTAAAGGATCATTTTTTTCCCCTCCCCCCATGTTAATGTCAGCACTTACCTTAAATGAGGTCTCTTAATCCGATCTTCTTCTTCTTTCCCCATGTTTTCATCTGTCCCCCCAGCGGTGCGGCGGCTCTCTGATCCAGCGCTGACTCCTCTCTGCTTGCAGGCACTTCTGATCCAGCGGTGTCTGAATGTGGGTGCACGTGTCCATAGACTTACCTTGCGTCTCTGCTCGTCTCCCAGCCGAGAATCCGAACTGCGCATGCGCCCGCCCCAAGATGCTTTGCGGCCGCCAGAGTAGTTGCGTTTTCGGGAGCGTGCAGCCAAAACAAGGTAAGTGTAAAGCACTGTTACAGTGTTTTTTTTTAAGCAGTAGATATAGGCAAAAAAAATGGAGGCTTCAGAACCACTTTAAGACTGAGGAAATGCAAAATCCATCTGAAACAAAAAGCTGTGTGAGCCAGCAAGTGTCAACAATTGCAAGCAAGGAAAGCTAGTTAGAGGGAAAGACACTTAAGGCCCATTCAGACTCTGTTACCTAATGCACATGCATTAATACAACGTGTTCTTGCAGATCAGGGAGTACCGCCTTAAAGCAGCCAATTTATTTGAATTCACCAAAAATGAACATTACCTTTTTTAATCTAATGCCAAACACCACAATGCAGGATGTGAGGGTGCAAGAAGATGCCTTGGTTAGGGTGCAAGAAGATGTGTTTCAAAAATAAAATATATTAGGAAACCTGCCAGTTTTGTTCCAATGTAAAGAAAAAGCCTTTAATTTTGTTTTTGTTTCTGCATGTCTAATTAAATATCACACTGGCCACAGCAAAAAGAGAAACAAACTTGGAATGCTACATTATCAAGATACCGTGTTTCCCAAATGTTTTCATTTGCACCTTTAACACACAGGGTATACCGGGACAGGTGAGAACAGATTGATAAATTTAATCATACCCCCCTCCAAAAAATGTACAGAGTTATAAAACTTAATTTTTGTGTAGTTATTGGATATGCCATGAACAAGGTCAAGACCCAGATTCACTAGAATCTCAGGCAAAGCAGATTTCATATGATTTGCTCATCATTTTGTAAGGATACTGAATTACCCCAGCGGCCAAAGTTAATCATAATATCAGCCTCTCCATCCATTAATCGAGTGAACTTTAGAGGTGTTACATCACTCCAGACTTGAAATGCCCGAGCAAATGCATCATCCACAGTTTCAGAATCGAGATCAGTAGTGTACCCAAGAATCCTAAAGAGAACTAAAAACTGTTTAGTGGAAAATTGCACACAGTTAAGCATTTTACTATACACATTATTCATATTGGTAAACACTTTGGGTCTTATTTACCAAAGGAAATTAACAAGAGCATGGAAAAATTGCTATAGGAAGTATATCTGTAAACAAACAAGTCAAGGCAACTGGACTTGCTGTATTTATCTTGAAGACGTTTCAACTGGTCATCCAACCAGCTTTCTCAATTCAGAATGACTTGTACAAAAAATTATCTTGGAATAAATATGGCGAATGTTACTCCGATCCACATAATCTGTTAGTCACAGCCAGGTGTTGATATACCTGGTGCTATAGGAAGCTTACATTGCAGGCTTCCTTAAGCACAAACATGCAAACCCTAAACATATCTAGCAAATTGTACACGGATGTTTATTGTGTACAGTGCATCCCAGCATGCTGTACACATTGCACATCCAAATATTGCTACTTTTATATTTTACTGTTTTCTTTTTTTATGACACCTTTAATAATATCATGTGATTTATTCCCATAAAAGATGCACGTGTAAAATCTCTAACAGTGTCTTTTTCTTCCTACCCTCCTCTTTTCCTTTTATCCCAGCCAGTTGTGTTCTTGTATACCCCAGCTATCGAGATTGGCTCCTCTATGAGGTAGCGAGTGCCACTCTTTGTGGCTTTATCTAGCTGAGCCTCTCTTCCTTAGAAGGGCTGACCGTGGCATTAACCGAATACCATCTACAACCACTTCAGGCTCCTGAGACAGGTTTGCTTTTCACTCATGAATGACAGTTCCATATTGACTGTACTTCTACTGTTTGCTCCCTTGTTTATTAGTTTTAGTGATGTACCATGTTTTGCCTCAAATGATCTGTACTACTGTTACTCTTTTATTCGGATTGGATCCTTGTACACACAGAATGTCAAATTTTACATTGTGTGCATATATTGTACCCTGTAATTCTTAATAAAAATGTATACATTGTTAAAAAAATAAATCTCTAACAGTAGTTAGATTGACCTAAAATCATTAGAAAAAGAATCACATTTTTATTTTAGGAACATTGCCACCTGTGAACATTCAAAAGCTGGATCATACACTGTACAGCAAACTACACTTTTTTAGTAAATCTACTGTATTTACATCAGAATATTGTGATTGTAAATAGGATTCAGTTTTCTGTGTCCATGCATGATTGATTCGCACATCTACACACACAAGTTTTAATCATTAAGGACCATTAGATACATCCGCACTTCACCTGTATGTGATATGGTTCTTTTCCCATTTGGGTTTCCTTGGGAAAAACTGGTAGTTGGACACATCTGGGTTACCGCATCTTGGCTTTTTCATCGTCTCAATAGTCTTTTGATCTATCTCTCCTGTCTCAGTAATATGGAAAAATTTCTGCATTTTCTTCAATGTGTCTTTCAGTACCATAATACAACCATCTTTAGGGCAACCATAGTACTTTAACAGGTATTGCTGCAAGTAAAATAAAATGGACACATTACAAAAGGGACATAAAGACATTTAAAACACAATTCTAGGCACAGAGACTTTCCTAAGTTTTGATGTGTAAACAAATGTTACCTCTTCTCAGTTGTAATACATTGTCTGTTTCACAGTATAATATTTGTACTGTGCAGCAATCAGACAATGTATTACAACTGACAATCAGACAGTACTACAATACTTGTCTTATTTGGGGATCATACAGATCCTGCTGTACTTATGACCCTTTCTGGACATGAGAGCTGCGGGTCTCATAGACTGGAGTGCTGGTGTTGTTTCTCTGCCTCCCCCTTCCTTTTGCCATTCCTAAAACACAGGGCCAAAGGCTGTATTCTGTGAATGGCCAAGGGGAGAGGGGACAGAGAAACAACACCAGTGCTGCAGTCTATGGTATTCACGTTGCTCACATCTGGAGTGGGCTTAAAGCACAGCCGGAGCTGTATTATCTGCCAGTACGACAAGTATTGATTTTTAAATACTGTGGTGCAATCAGACAATGTATTACACCTGATGAGAGGTGACTTTTCTTTTTTTTACACAAAAAATGAAGTAGAATCTCTGTGCCCAGAGTTTAACTTTAATTTAGCATGTTACATTACTGGCAAATACAATACCTATATATTTTAAATTGAGATGGAAAACGTTGGTGCTTATCCAAGCAAAATATAAAGATTCAGAATATGCCAGCAGAGTGTGACCATGTGTAACAAACTATGAGCCTTAACCAAGTGATGATAGCCAGGAGCATAACTAGGGTCGGGCACCCAGGGCACGTGCCCCACATCTCCTGCTGGGTGTCCTGGGTCCCCACACTGAGATTGCCTGCACAATGCCTGTGATCATCAGCTGCTGTCAATGGACAGCATAGATCACAGGCAAAAGGCACAGAGCCATCATGTGATTGTTGGGATTGGCAATCACAGAAATAACAAATGTAAACACTTAGCACAGTTTGTGTTTACATTGGAGAGCCCTCCCCTTGCTCCTCTGCCACTGATGCTCCACCGATCCTCTTATTACTTTGCCAGGGTTTCTCTGTTAATCCTGTGAGTAACACTGCTCCCACTAACCACCACTGAGCAGCAAGGGGGTTCACAGGGCGCCTTGTAAGTGCAACAAAGACATTGTCCACTGATGTAAGGGGATACAGACATTGATCACCAATGTAAAGATGGCACCGAGACTGACCACCAATGTAAGTTGGGCACAGACATCAATGAAAGGGGCTACAGACGCTGAGTGCCAACATAAGGGGGCACAGACACAGAACAAAACAAATTCAGGTATTTTTTCCTCCCATTAACCACCAATGCCAGACATTTCTCTTCCATCTGACCTTCATTGCTGGGCATTTGTTTTCTCCCACTGACCACCGACACCATGCTCCCATTGACCACAAACACTGGCTATTCTAACCAGAAATATAAGGTGCACTACGACATGTATCGATGACCTCTGCACTCTACACATTGTGCTGTACATAACACCATGCCCGGCAAGGCAGGAAAGGGAGGGATGATCGAGCGCCCCTGCGCCTAACCAGGCCACATGCCCTCGGCATTGGGAGGGTGTCCCCATGCCGATGGGGACAAGGGCCTCTTCCCCACAAGACCCAGTGGTTGTGGGGGTCTGTGGGCAAGGGGGCAAATTTGCATGGGGTACCCCTTTAAGGGGGCACCCAGATGCTGTCCCCCCTTGTGAATGAGTAAGGGGTACTTGTACCGCTACCCATTCACTAAAGGGTTACAATTCTAAGTAAATAAACAAACCACACTTTTAGAAAAAATCCTTTAATTGAAAAAAAAACAGAGTACATTTTTGACTATTCCTTTAATTTAAAAAAAATGTCTCCATCGATGTAATCCAGCGTCAATCCCAATGTACAACGCCCGCCAACCCGCCTTAATAAAAAAAGTCCCACCGCGCGACGACCGGCCGAACCCGACAAAAACTCACCGCAAAATGACGTTCAGCCCGAAAGTAAACGGATGGGCGGAGCGAGACGTGACGTCACGGCTCACTGCACCCATTTGACATTCTCAGCTGTCAAATACAACGTAGCATTCGGGAGCTCCCGAATGCCATTTCGGGTCCGTGAACAGAGGTATCATAATACTTTTCATATAAAAAATGAACGTACGAAATGAGCACAAAACAAACTTTCATACAGACTACCGCTAACGGATTTCGTCCAAATCCAAAACGAATTGATTTTCAGACCCGAATAACAAAATAACGCAAAGTCCGAATCAAAACAAAACTAAACAAATTTTATTTTTATTGTTTCCCTTTATTTGGTAAAGCACTACACAAACTTTTGGCTTTACCTAAATCCAGAGAGTCATGGAGCGCAAGGAAAAGAGGGAATTGGGCGGAATGGCAACATGACAGGGTGAGAAGGGGAGCCAGAGGGTAAAAGGTTAAAAGTACAGGAAGCTGGGAGAAGGGGTGGCTTACCAGTTTGTAGGAGGTCCACAGGGGGGGTGGGATTACCAGAAAGGGTCGGCACGTGGACCCCAGGATCATTCTGGAAGAGAAGATGCTGGGAGCAGACGAGGAATTTCACCTGTCCTCCTTTCTTGCGTTGGGTGCTGCGCCTGCCCCCCCGCCGGCGGTTGGGGGGCAAGGGTCCAGTGCGGTGGCTGCGGAGGCACAGAGTGCCCCTCCTCCCCCGGCTGCGGAGCCCACCGTTGCTAAGACGGTGGTGGCTGAGGTGGACCGTGTCCGGTTAGCGGACGCGGCAAAGTGCGAGGTGTACGTATGCTTTGAAGGGCCGTTAGGGGCACACCTGAAGCAAGAGGTCAGGGAGCGCATCTGGAAGGGTGAGTATGTGGAAATTTTCTCCCTGCTTCCCTTAGAGAAGTTCAACCTGGATCACGTGAAACCAGATGAGAGCAAAAAAGACGAGGAGGAGAAGCGTAGGTATCGGTTGATTCCGCGCACCTTCGCGAATTGGTTGCAGGTCTTCGCTATTCTGGCCAGCGTAATAGGCGAACGGGCGCCAGAAAATTGCTCCCCTCTTTTTTGCTACCTGGATGCGATTGGCGAGGCATATCGGGTTTCGGGGCTGCCTTCCATCATTCATTATTTGGATGACTTCCTCTACGTCGGCCCTTCCGGGTCGTGGGGGTGTGCGTTGTTGGCAACGTTGCAACATGTTGCGGAGCGTTTTGTGGTCCCGTTGGCGGCGGAAAAAACGGAGGGCCCAACTACAGAATTGGTTTTTCTTGGTATCGTCATTGATACCGTGGCGATGGAGTGCAGACTTCCCGAGGACAAGTTGGCGGATCTACGGGCGGCGGTGGTGTCCGCGGGTGCGCGGCGCAAGATTCAACTGCGAGAACTGCAGTCTCTGTTGAGCAAGTTGAACTCAGCGGGTCTGTTTTCATTGCGACAACATGGGGGTGGTTTCGGCTATCAACTCAGTGTCGGCCTCTTCTCCGCCGGTGATTCGGATGTTACGGTCCCTGGTTTTGCAGTGTTTACGTTTTAATGCTTTTATCTTTGCGGTGCATATCCCGGGCGCTGTTAATCTGTTGGCCGATGCTTTGTCTCGCTTTCAGTGGGCCGATTTTCGGAGATTGGCGCCGGCGGCGGATGGTCGGGGGGTTCCTTGTCCAGGGTGGCTGTGGAGGATTGCGTTGGAGCCCTCACTGGCCTCATACGAAGATCGGTTAGTGTTGCCACGTGGACGGCATACTCCAAGGTTTGGCAGGAATGGTGGGGTTTTCTGGATTCTGTAGGGGGGGCGAGGGCCGATGGTGATTACACCTCTGGGGTGTTGTTTTTTCTTAGTCATGGCAGTCTGGTGGCGGTTTGGGGTCCTTGAAGGCGTTAGGGATGCCGTGGGTTTATTGACAAGGATTGGTGACCCATCATAGGTGTGGTGTCCTTTAAGTGGTGGTCAGTTGGTTTGACCACTTAGTTTTGGCGGTGAAGTGTCTGCGGTTAACAGATATTGGTCCCCGAGGCGGTGGTTTGCGGCTGGGGGCCCTATTAGTAATATCGAAAACCGCAGATACAGGTATGGGACGGCATTCTAGTTATTTGAAGCGCCTTCAGGGATCCGGAAACCTGGGTTTAAACTAAAAAAAATGGTTAATTGTTTTGAGTATATATAGCAGAGTTATTTTTCTATTCAAGTTTGTATTTATTTTGTTATGGTTATTAAAAATACAAGTGGCTGCTGTGGCCTTTGAAAATCCATATAAGTCTGGAGTGCCTTATTTTGAGGAGAGTGGGGGTGGGGGGAGGTCACAGTAGAAGAAGGCGTCCCTCTGAAAATACCCTTGTCATGTATAATAATAATAATTATAATAATAATTATGCAGTGCTTCTCAGCATTCTGCTTTCTTTTCAATTTAGCCTAGCTGTGTTTGGCTCCACCCTCCATTCATTCATTTACAGCTCTTTTCACAGGGATGTGTGACAAGTCCCATCTCCCACTGCAAAGGGGATCATGTAGATCTTAATAAAGCACAAGTGCAGACAATCCTCGGATTGACCGAAGGACAGTATTTCTTGTGCCTTGAAGAATGTTTGCCATGGGCAGGAAAGCACACAACAAGGGTATAGTGGATTTTTATGTTCGGTTACCTCTACCACTGTAACCTGTCTAAAGGAATTTCATGTGGCTTATAAGACACCAGAGTGATGGGATCTCTCAGGAAGGACAGTGTGCCTCAACAACAGGAAATAAAATGATAAAACCTTCCATATCATCATTTATGTGGTAACAACATAGCCCCCTTTATTAAAATTAGAGAGATGTCTCTCCCTGCAAATCAAAGTCAGAAATCGCCACTCAGGCCACCCACAGGACTCCAAATAAAACCAGGGTGGAGGCACATAGTGAACAAGGAGATTCTTAACACCAAGGGGATCATCAGAGCATTGGGTCATACAAGATGGAAACGACTATATCAATGGCAAGGGATAAAAGCTTCTATAGATCGTCTGTGACCCTTGAG